ACGAAGAAGCAGGCTTGTCTGCTTCCAGCATTTCTCCTCACGCTTTTCATTTTCACTTTATTGCTCTCCTTCCCACCCATTTCCATCCATGCCAATGACCCTGTTTCCATTTTGGCCCCAAGTGATATCTGAATTAAATCCTGTCTTGCTCTGTAGGTGCAGAGGAGAACCCTTAGGAGGTAACTATCCCAATCCTCCTGGGACAGTCCTGGTTTTGACCTTCTAAAGTACTTTCTGACCTGTATAAGACACAGGTGCCGGACCAGCTCCCAAAGACAGAGAGGTGCAACGATCCCCATAAGGTAGCACAGAGCAACTTTGCTCAGGGGGACACAATCTCTAAAAAAGACAAGACTTTCTTGAAATGTCAGAGACCCTACCTGGCTCAGAGTCAGGACTCCTGAATCATCTCGTTGACCATCCTTTTATAACTTCTATATAATTTTGTACAAGTGCTTTTGTCTGTGCTGTGTTTTATTTTCCTCATGAAAAACAGTGTGTGTGTCAGAAAACAGGAGGGTTTGTAGCATCTTCTTATCACACGGCAGGTCTCAGGACACCTCAGGCAAAATATACAAAATGCCATTGGGAGCTGGCAGTTTAAAATGGGAAAAAAAGGAGGGAGTGCAAAAGATACAACTTCTCTGCCTTGTACTTGCCATCACTGACATGACTGCATCGGAGTACAGGCAATGTAAAGCACCATGAAGGACTCGTCACCTTTCAGGGCTGAAGGGAAGGGGGAGAGAACTAGGTTTTCTCATACTGCAGAGCTTTCCTGGAGATGATAGTGATCCTTTTGGTCTCCTTAGAAAGGCTCAGTGCATCTCTGAGTCTCCCAGCCTGATGACAGCGGTATGCTCAAAGTTATTATGAGCTGTGACCTTGCTTGGCTAGCTGGTGGCAAAAGGCATATTTTCTGAATACTCCTATCTTGCAAAACATACAAGGTCTTAGAAGCTTGAAAAGAGATTAGCTAAAGCAGAACCTTAAATCCTGAAGCCCTGGAAAAAAAGGCTCACCGAAGCATTTGGATCAGCGGTGGCTGGGGACCTCTTTTACCGCATGAGCTAGAAAGGACAATGAAGGTGAGAATGGCAGCATGGAGTGCGGCTGCAGTGGCCAAGAGGGAGGAGCAGCAAGTGTATATCCCTAATTTATAATACAAGTAGGAAAAAAAATCAACAAGAAGGAGATTCTTATTTATCCTATGTTCGCACCCAGCATTTCTGCAAGTCCAAAGTGAAGGGCTGAGATATTGTACTGTTTTGAGCACTTCTGTTGTATTACTGTCGCTGGCTACCTATCTTCACAAAATTCAAAGAAACAAAGTAAAATCCTGCTTCAATACATGACAGGGGTGGGTTTGCAACCTAATTCCCTGGAGCCAGGATTTTGCTCAATGAATATACCCCAAAGAGCCTAGAATAGTGGCTAAAGCCACAGCAAGCTTTTCCTTTAATTCTCTCTTTCTTCGCCTGAAGTTTTGGGGCCAGTTCTGAAGGTTGTTTGAATGACGTGGGCACCTGCCCAGGTGGATGGGCATCGAGCCCTACCAGCTCATTTCTCAGAGAGCTCTGGTGGATGGTGGGATGGTTTGCCAGGGAAGAGCATCATACCGATTTCTAGAGGCAGGACTAAAAGATGGTTAAGGAGTCAGAGTTGGGAGGTTGAACCTTGCAGTCAACTTACATCAGAGACCAACAGAAGCCAGCTTTGACAGAGAATGAGCTGAAGGGCAAATGTCCCAGGACACAGTGCTGACCATATCATTCCCTTGCACGGCACTGGCCGCAGAAACAGATGTATTGCAAACACAGGCAGCTAAACAGGATCAGGAAGACCTTGGACTATGCAGAAAGATAGCACAAAGTATTTGTAGTGAACCTGTGAATGTAAAATCCAAGATTTCCCAGAGAAGCAATTTTTGCCCCTTGTCTTTCCCTCCTATGGGGAACTGTTATTGCTCCTACCCTACGGGGGGAGGATCTGACACACAGAGAAACCTTATGGCAGTGTCCTGTAGAAATGGGCCTTCAGCAAAACTCAGGTTCCCCAAGTCCATGAAGTCTACACACTGTCTTTTTTTGACAGTAGACCTGCCCCAAAATTCCCAATCTAAAACATTATCTTAGTGTGGATGTACAACTTTGAACTCCCAAGGAGATTTGCTCCTGGGGCTGAGATGGGCACGTTTCAGTGTGCTGCTATTGGGACCCAGAGAGATGATGAAGAAAAAGACACATTATTTAGGGTCTTTGTCAGGGCGTGGGAGAGTCTGCTTCAGTCCCAGCAATGCTACTGGCATCCTACAGCCCCTCCCCGCCCCAGGGAAAAAAGCAGCTCTGTTCAGACTCAAGTATTTAACTGCTGTTCTTAACATCCCCAAACATGTGAATCCAGGATTTCAGGTCTGTATCGGCAGGGTTACAAGGGGAACATCTGCTTTGACTAAAGTTCCTTAGAATTAAGAAATTCAGGTGATTGAGGCAGTTGTTCAGATTTTGAGGAATTCATCCTGAATGTCTTCATGGGTTCATCCCTTTCTAAGTCAAACACACAAATTCTGCCTCCTGGGAAGCATACAGCCATATAAACCACTTCTGACTTAGTGAACAAGGTATCCTGATTTTCAAATAGATGTAGCTAGAGCTAGAAGACCACAGAAAATGCCCACTGGATTTAGCACTAACAGTCCCACTGAGGATCTGACTGGAGGGACAAAGGGATGGACTCTCTGGTGACCGTGACATCCAGTGTCAATCTGCTGGAGGAATTCCCTTTGGAGCAGAGGTGAAGCCTAACAGTCACAGATCTTTGCTACTCATGCCACAGACAGATAAAATATATGGGTCTGGGGCTAACGAGGCAACACTTTTTGTGAATAAAAAGCCTTTTTGTTCCCTTTTTGATAGCAAAAAGAGGAGAAAATGAAAATTGGATTGTATCTATTTTTAGGCAGATTAAAAAGTTATTCAGACTAGAGAGAAAGTGCCTCAAAAATAGCTTGAGCGATATGAAAGTGGAGCAATTGCTGAAGATCTACAAGAATAAAAAGAGGGCAGGAGCCTGGGAAACCAATTTTGAAGTAGCTGTGCACCTTTCATTTTTACAGCCTTGTCTGATGTGTGCCTGCTTTAAAACACACTCTGATGCCAGTGGAAGCCTGCTCCTGCACCCCAAATCCATGGGGTCCTTCAAAGGCAACCAACCAGCCTGGTGTGTGCCTGGTCATCCCACAAACTCGGTTGTGCATTTTACAGCCTAACCATTCAGCAAAAGCCTAGGCAGCCAATGCCACCCACTGTGACACAAGTCTTGCGTCTCCCATTAAAAGCAATCAGACTTATCCAGGTTTGTCACATCTCCCTCCAAAAATGACCATCCTTGAAGGGTGCCTCAGTAGGGAGTGAATTTCTGAGGCTGCCTTGCTCTGGCTTCTACCCAGATTTCTCAAGCTTCGTCATTAGGACATCAAGTTGCAGGCAAATATTGAACTTTTGAAAAGGCATGGCCAGAAACTAAGAGGAGGCTTTGGAAATAAGACAGACTTGTAAACTGTCGCCCACAGAGCTGCAGCCAGTACGTCATGGGCTGTTCAGGTTGGAAGTGAAAGCCGAGGGGACATGTGCTCCTAAGTTACCCCGGAGATGGGTATAATTGCTAAGTAACGCTCGTCTTTTGCCCCAAACTTTGAAAAATCCCAGCCATACAATGGGAACAGCTGGCTGGGGAGAGAGTTGCACGCACCAAGAAGGGACATCACCTCTTCCCCGCTGTGGATGGAGCAAGGCTGCGATGGAGCAACACACAAGGAGTTGGCCTGATAAGGCCACGTGTCTGCACATCATTTTGGCGGTGGGGGGGGGGAAGACCCCTGGCCGCTGTCAAGCTCGTCTCTGCCAGCCCCTCAGCGTGTCTTCTCCGGCAGATCTGCGCCAGCTCCGGTGATGGCTTGTGGCCAGCTGGCCTTCCTCCACCTGCCTGTCGCTGCCAGTCATGGGGCAGCGGTGACAACCCGGTCAGAGGAGGAGAAGAGTTGAAAGAGCGTGCCACCGAACCGTTCTCCCCACCCAGCAGCGCCAGGCAGCAAAGCAGCAGCCGGTCCTGAGCTCCTGGGGAAGGGGGAACGGGTCATCGTTCCCGGGAAATGAAGTGGAAGGAATATACGGGACCTCTTGCTGGGAAATGCAACAGGGTTGCGTGAAAAAAAAAAAACGCTCGGGGCCAGCAGGCAGGTCCCATCGGCTTGGAGACCAGCAGTAATTGTGGCATCTGTCCATCATCTGCCCTTCATCCCCTTTAGCATGATAAGGTTTTAACCACTCGCAGCAATGTATGGGGCTCAGTAGCTGCTATGGGCATGGGAGGTTGCAATGTAAGCTGCTTTGGGATTACAGGTCCGAGGGCCAGCGATTCTCCTGGTACCCTGCAAGCAGAGAAGGTGCTTCAGAAAAGAGCTTGAATGTCAGCCGGCAGCTCCGGCCGATGCCGCAGGCAGGGAGTCCCACGAGCGCTCGCCTCCTTTGCTGCGGAGGAAAGGGGACTTCTCCTCCAGCAGCGCAGAGGAGTCTCTGAAACTGTTTAACCCGAGATCTGTTATCCAAAGCCTAATCACTGTGATGCCCGAGGGGTTACAAAGAGAGATACCCTTATTAAAAAATGCGGTAAATACCTTCTATTTTTGTTAAGCCCTAGTAGGACAGGCTGTGCCTCGGCTCTCTGTGCAAGTGAAGCCTGTCCCTTCGCAAACCCTGCCTGCGTATTCCCAGCATCGACATCTTCCACTCCCTCCCTCTCGCTCGCTCCCTCTCTCTCAGATGATGCAGAGTGCCAGCAAGTCCCTCAATGGTGTCATATCTGTCCTTTTTATTCATTGCAGGGTTTATTTTTAGCCTGAAACAACTGCTTCCTAAAAATGGAGTTCCTAATGACACGGGAGCTGGACACAGCTATGTAAGGTATCCAGGGCTTGGCCTGACAGCTTCTCCTGTCTGTCTCTTTGTTGTAAGCTCAGGACAGCAAAGTTTGCTGCTCCCCACCAGCCTTGCAGCGTTTGGGCTGATCACTAGGAAGGCAGCAGAAAGAGAAACTCGGTTTGAACTTCACCTGGAGACTTTGGTCTCCCCCTCTTCCCAAATTAAGAAGGAGAGGGACGTTTACCTCCCCTCTGCTGCACTCCAAGGGCTCCCCTATGAAGGTGACTTGCTGGATCCTTGCAGGTTTTTACCTGCTTTTCTGCTGCAAAGCAGAAGAGGGACTGAATTTCCCCACTTACGATGGGAAAGACCGAGTGATCGACCTGAACGAGAAGAACTACAAGCAGGCCCTGAAGAAGTACGACATGCTCTGCCTACTCTTCCACGAGCCCGTGAGCTCTGACAAGGTGTCCCAGAAGCAGTTCCAGATGACAGAGATGGTCCTGGAGGTAAGTGCCACCGCATGTCCCAGCCGGGGTCGATACCACGGCGCTGTCTGGAGCTGTGGAGAGGAGCCATGGGACAGGACAGTCCAAGGGTCTTGTGTAGAACCAGGGACTGGCGGGAGAGCACCCAAAATTTGGGTTTGTTTGCCTGGGTTTGAGTCACCCCCTGAGTTCTGCAAAGCCCGGGAAAAAGCCTCTGTTGTGCTTTTCCGAGTTGTTGGCTGGGAAATAGCCTTTCTGTATTGTGCATCAGAAACCCAGGCAATAGCCAGTAACCTTGCAAACCTCAGCAACATGAACTCAGCTCAGCTGAGCTTTCCCAAACCTCAACACAGACCTGAGTCCGAAGCTTGACATTTTTAGATCCTTTCTCATTCTGTGCAAGCCAGTATCCCCCTTGTATTCTGGATTCAGTCCCATTTTCTGTCCCACTAGGAGTAATCAGCCAAGAAGCATTAGCAAACTGTGCTGCAAACGGGCATCCTAGCTCCCCATCTCAAAAGCTCCCCGTTGGTGCAGCATTAAATCCCTTTTTGTTTTTCTGACACTTGATTGCCTGCTTGGAATCAGGCTGTAGCCTCTTGTTAATGCAACCATTCACTTCTGTCCTGGAAAAAAAGTGTTGTTAATTCTTTGGTGAAAGAATGATTAATTAATCCTCAGTAAAATAAATCATGGTAAAAATTGTGAAGTAGATTCACAGCATTCTTTCTTGTAGTGTAGCTGTAATCTAGGGAATCATACAGCTGCAAGCCTGGATTGTCAGGTGCTTGTTTCCTACCAGGGGCTTAGAAATATTCCCTCTTAACTAAAAGACACATTTAGAAAGAAAGTGAGAATTGCAGAAGAAACACATAAGCTTTATTTATCAGAACCAGAGAGAACATACATTGCACCCCTAGGAGTATAGCAAATGTGAATTAGAAAATACACTTGCTGAGGGCTAGGACCTGAAAAAGTCTAATGTCAAGTTCAAAATCTACTGACCTCCTCAGCAAGCCTGACAACAAGAAAGATTCAAAAACTAACCAGATTTTACTCACCTGTCAGGAAACAGTTACTTGCTCCAGGTGAGCAATAAAATAACATTTGACAAAGAAAAGAAAAAATAACACTGGAACTCCAGTTGAAATGTTTACGGTTGGTAGTATAATTGCATTGTTATTTAATAGGATAGCTATTTCATGCTCAAGAGATGGCAAGCAGTTGCTAAATACATATTTATAGAAATCTGACAGAAGCAGGTATCTGTTGGGTACTATCAGTTTTAGTCCCCATGACACCTATACGCATGTTAACAACCAGCCATATCAAGGGCGCGATGGCTACAATACAATCTGGCTTAAAGCTTTTATTTTGCAGGGTTTGATTCAGCAGCAGGTACATTAGCTTAGGACTCTGGTGATTTGGTTTCCATTTGCCTCTCTGCCATGGACTTCTTATGTGACCTTGGGCAAGAGATTGAGGATTAGATCTGCAGCAGACTTTTTATAATTGTAGTGTTCCAGTCCACTAACGCTCAGCTGCGGGCTGACCGTGCCACAGAGCAACCGGCACTTGTAGCTTTGACCTCAAAATTTCCCAAGCACTTGCAATGCTGATTCAGTGCATGTCTCGAAGTTTCACAGTCCCCCCCTTGGACTGGGAACTGCAGCAGCAGCAATCTGACAGCCCAAGCACAAGAGCAATCTGCAGACCGAGCACTCCTTTGCCTCTGTCACTTGGGGGAATCGGACGAGGAGAGGGTCTCAGAAGGCAACAGAGAAGATAGGATGTGTCTTATCCCGCATGGGACACAGCCCAGCAAGGTGCTAATGCTCCCAGTTTCTGTACTAACTCAACCACGGGAGCACTCGTGAAGGGAGTGGGCAAACCAGGGGTTGTAATCTGCTCCCTCTTGTGATGGCGTTCACCTCCCTCACCTCAAACCAGAACGTGTTGTGCCATGGGGGTCACTCTCAATCTCCCCTGCCGGACCTCATCCAGCTGTGGGACTTCACTGCACTGGGACAGGGAGAGGGAAAGAAAAGCCTGGAGTGGGTCCATGGCTGAGGTGTGGAGCCATTCACCCGGGAGATGAACTGCCTGGGACCAGTCTCCCTGGAGGCAGTTAGCAGCTGAACCCAGCTCTCCCATAATTCAAGCAACTACTCGGAGTAGTGAGGTGCTGGGTAGGCACAGGAGCAGTGACAGGGCCTCTTCTTCCAGCCAAACCTGGGAAAAGTTCACTCAGGAGGGCTTTATGTATCTAATTTCAGTAGAGGATTCAGGGCTCTCAGTGCTGAAGGTCCTTTATGCCTGAAATAATCTGAAATAATCTGAAGTATTTTACGAGGCAAACACTCCAGCCCTTGGTGTCCGCTGCCGGACAGCTTGGGGGGTTCCCAGCACAGGGTGCTGTGTGTGGTAAGATGCCTTTCTGGAGCATCTCATATTTTTCCATCTTACTGTACTGAGAATTTACCTACTGACTTACAACAAGAGGTGCTGCTTCCGCAGCCTGGGAAACATCATGTCCTTAGCCTGCATCCATAAAATAGCACTGGTCTCCATCACTAGGAATAATAGGGAGCCTTCACCCAAAACACAGGCAGGTGTGGAGCTAAGCAAAGATCTGACCTGGGTGGTTAAGGGTTGTTATGTCCTATTGCCTGATGAACATGAGTGTGTGTGTGTATGGAAGGGAATGGGCTTAATGGTTGTTAAGTCCAGAAAAAACCCAAAAGTCTACCCTTTCTGTTTCTCCCACATGTACCTGATAAGAAATTTATAATTCCAAAGACCAGATACCTGAAGAAATATCTTAGACACCAAGAAAAGAACAAGAGAGATCCAATGCCTGGGTTCCTGCAAATTTGCTAGGAGAAACTCCCAGGTGTGCCCAGGTAGCAGATAGCATGGCACGTTGCTGAAGCCAGCAAAAGTCTCAGCAGGGTTGACCAGTTCCTTCTTGACTCTAGATCCATCCACCAGCTCAGGCTTCAGCACTTGGAAAAAATCCACAGCTACAAAGCACCCAAGAAGGGCAAGATGGTTGTAGACAAACACTCCTCCAACCTAGCTATTGTCTCTTGACCACGAGCATGTTTTGCTTGAAACATGTAGCTCATGGTCAGTAACAAGCTCTGACTGGGGATTTTCCCACAAGTGAGGAGCCCATGAGGATCTCTTTTACCTGGGTCCTCTGGTTTCTAACAGGGGTTGAGCTCATGTAGTGACATTTCCTTCTTTCAGAGCACTTTAGTCTCTTCCCTTTCAAGTCCTTGCTCTTCACAAAACTTGCAATGACTTTTTTATGCTGAGATCCCTGCCTCTGGAAAATTTAGCTGAAAAGGGCCAATAGCTAGAGAAATTATTAGGGAAGGGGAGGCAGCTGACAGACAGACCTGGGGGGAGAGAGAAGAGAATCACACAGGTCTCATATCCTTAGAAAATCTAGCTGAAAACCTGACAGCACATGAGTAAAGCTAAGCACATATTTAAGGACTTTACCAAACCATAACTACAAAGAGCAGACTGAGGAGAAAGTGATATAACAGGGGAAATTTCCTTCCCAGGACAAAAACCCAGCATGCAGGATAGACTGACACTGTCAAAGCACAGCAGCTATCACCAGAAAAGGGATGCCACCATTAAGCTGATATTACAGTGGGACAGCACACGGCGTCTTCAGCTCCCCGCACCCAGGGGTACTGGGAACTGTGACCAGATTGCCCCGCAGCTCGGGGTCCCTTTCCAGTTTAGAAAGGGAATGAAGGTGAAGACCACCGCGAAGCAGCCCTGACGGCTTTTGCCACCTACACTGTTGGGTGCCACCTGGTGAGGACACGGTCTGGGGACAACCGAGCCCCTCTGGGAGCAACAGCAGCTTCTTTGGACCATCCTTTGTGCATGACAACAGCTCCAAGGATGGCAGTGCCAGGCCCTCAGGTCGGGGTGGGAAAGCTGGGGGCTGTTGGGTTAGTCTGTGAGGAAAATAGTCAAAGCAACGGTCGGAGATGCAAGCTGCCTACTGCTTTGCTGGCTAGGGTGGAAAAGGATCGGGTAAGGATTGTAATAAGACAGAAACCCAGGGCAGAGATAGCATGAGCACAGGGTGCTTCACAGCTCGGGTTAAAGGGCTCTTCTCCTTTGCTTGCCTTTCTCCTGTGTCTCCACTCTGCACCACTGACTACTGAAAAGCACCTGCAGCTGGAGTAGGGAAAAGCCTCTGTACAGGGCAATGCAGAGGTTGAAGCAGACTGTCCCAGAGCTAACAGTAGCTATTCCTACTCTGTGGTGATGTTTACAAGAGCCCTGCATGCCTTGTGAGCTGAGCACAGTGAAGAAGAAAATGAAAGAGCCAGGCACAAGGCTTCAAAATAAGTGTTTAACAGACAAGTAAGAAAAAACCCTACTTGTCCTAAAAGGTCTCAGCTGTAATGAAGAAGGGGCAAAAGAGGAAAAGACCAAAGCAGTGAAGCTGAGAAATATCTATTCTGCTTTTCTTCTTCTCCTTAGCTCCCCTACTATATTTTGTCCTGTCTCATACCACCACTTCTCAGACCTTCTCCCCTCTCCCTCTCATCTCTGAACCTCCTAAATATTGGGATAGTTTTGCTTTCCAGTGGGCTGGCCCCTGTCTTTAGGAATCATGTAACAAGAATAATGAGCAGTGGAGTTAGGGGCTTTCCTTTTGCACTTGAGAAGCTCTCTTCAGTATCACAGCAGGCTGCCTGCAATGCAGACCATCGTCTCCATTACTGTGTCCCTGCTGAAACTCGCTTAATCCTGGCTCCCCTGTCATTCTTGCCTTGTCATCTGTGTGCATGTGTAATATCTTTTAAAAAAAAGACGATCGTCAAGCCCAGATATTTTAGGCCCTTCAATGCAACAGTGCCCCTGGGCTGAAAATTCGTGGAGAACTGCCCTAGCACAAACCAGTCTGATTAGAGGTAAAAGAGGGACGTGGTACTCCCCTTTCCAGATGAGGTCTAGGATCAGCCCAGCCTCTAGCAATAAAT